CACAAAAGATTTTTGAAAACGATTTTATTAGGAAAAAAAACCATAAAAATAAAAATTTCTCCCAGTGGGTCCGTAGGAGCAATAAACAAATGGGAGGTGGGACCATGGATTCTAATAAAACGGTTCAAATGATGGCCCACGGATTAATCTGAACCATCAATCGTATACACGTCAACGTGGCGTACATCGGAAATACCAAGAGAGGGACCCTCGCTAAACAGAAACGCGGCTTGAAGAAAAAAAGTTTAAAAGCTCGAAAAAAGGGGAAAAGGCAAGGGCAAAATCCCGTAATAAGAAGAAAATCTAAGGGCAATATTAGGAAATTCATAATATTTAATGGAAATTTTAAATTCGCCTCAAATATTTCTATTAACACCCCACTATTAAATACATTTTAAATTCAAAATTAAAATTATTTTCTACTAAATACACTACATTCCTTTGATAATTGATTTTCCTTTCATATCCTCAACATTTTTTATTCACTCATTCTTATTCTCTTCTTTAATCTCAAACTCAAATTAATTATAAATCAATTAAATTAACCTCAAAATCATTTTTTTAGTCTTTCATTGATTAAAAGTAAAATTTTAAAATTTACTACATTTGATTTAATTTAAATGCTTACGAAAATTAATTAAGGTTTACAAAATGAATTTTGCAGTATTTTAACTTTTTAGAAATTGATTTCCAAAAGCCTTAAAAGGAAAATCAATTATTGGTGAGAAGCTTACAAAATTTTTGAAAATTCATTTTTAAAAAGCATTATTTTTAAAAATACAATATAAATTTTATAAATTTATTTTTAAAAATATATTATAATTCAATTTTGAAATTATGTGATATTTTTTAAAATAAAAAATTGAAATTATAAATGATTAAATTTAACTGAGTGAGATTTTATTATCTCTTTGAGTTAATCTTTTATTATTATTTTATTTTTATATTTATTTCTTTTTTATTTTTATATGATTTGTAGGATTTAATAAAAATTTTAAAATTTTTATTTTAAATTTAAGGATTTAAGGTTTAACGTTTGAAAAAAAATGAAAAAAAAAAAAAAAAGAAAAAGATGGGCATATTTCGTAAGATGATAAAATTGTAATTTATTAAAAAATGAAGTTGATATTTTATTATGTGAATATTTTTAAAAAGAAATTGACGGGACGTAAAGAGGTGGTTGAACGGTGCATTTAGAAGTCATCATATTTAAATGACAGCGATGAATATAAGATAGGAAAAAAATGAAAATAAAATTTAAAAGCCACTAAGCCAGCAACCAAAACAGCTAGCCAAAAGACCAAAAGAACCCTCTCTTCTCTGCTCTGTCTTTCAAAGGCTCTCTTCTTCTGTTCTCTTAAGTGGTACTGTTCTTACTTGTTTGTTCCTTTTTTTTTTATTATTATTATTATCGCACAATCTCATCTTCACAGATTCGTCCTCTTCTCGATCCCCCAACTGTAAGTCGTTTCTTTCTCTTTTCCTCTCTCATTCTGAAACCCTAAATTTCCAATTATGCCCTTAGATCTTTTTTTAAGATACCTGATTTCTTTTATCCATTCTGAATTTCGAAGTCATGATTCATCGGGAGTCTTTATGTTCCTTTTTTTGTTTGTTTCTTTTCTTGATTTATTGTATTGCAGGTAGGTAATTATCAATTAGGTACTGTATTGGGAATTCGATTGTTAATTTTTTGGGAGATTTGATTAGGTGTCTTCGGTTTGTCGATCTGCTAATCAGTCGAGGTTCATTTTGATGATTACTGTATTTTTTTACTGGAAATTTGTGGGTTTAGATTATTAGAGCTAGGAATAGGGATTTCTAGGGTTTGGTTTGCGATTTATCTAAATGAAGTGTAAGATTTCGATTGTGGTTATAAAATGAAATTGTGAAGAAATTTTTGATTAATTCTTTTGGTAATTCAATTAAGATTTCACTGACTCTGCTTGTACAGTATATAATTCTTACTTTTTTTCTTTAATTATTTTTTTGTTTTGTTTTTGGGTTTCAGTCAATCATGAGTGACGATGGAGAAAAGACCTGCCCCCTTTGCGAGGAGGAGATGGATTTGACTGATCAGCAACTCAAGCCTTGCAAATGTGGTTACGAGGTTTGAAGCAAATTACACTTATTTTCTTTCTTACATATGTTTGACAATACAAATCAGGAAAGAAAAATGTAAAAAGAGATAATTAGAGTGAGAGAGAGGGGGGAAAAGTGGAGAATTATTGTGTGCCAGAGACCTTATCTCTATTGATCTTATTTTGTTTAAATCTCTACTTCGTGGCAGATATGTGTTTGGTGTTGGCATCACGTAATGGATATGGCTGAGAAGGATGACACAGAGGGGAAGTGTCCAGCATGTTGTAGAGCTTATGATAAAGAAAGGATTGTAGGCATGGCTGCTAATTGTGAGAGGTTGGCAAGCTTCTTCACATCTTATTCTCATTAAAGATATTGCAATATTTAACTGCCATTTTCTCATGTATATAGATTTTTCTCTAAGCAGGCTGGTTGCTGAAATTAGTTTGGAAAGAAAAATGAAGTCACAGAAGGCAAAGGCTAAATCATCTGAAGGAAGGAAGCAACTGAGCAGTGTGCGAGTTATTCAAAGGAATCTTGTTTACATAGTTGGCTTGCCACTTAATCTGGCAGATGAAGATGTACACTCTTTCTATCCTCCTTGCATGCATTTGCAAGCTAACTTTTATACTTGTATAATGACCGAAACATGTATCACTTTTGTGCAGCTTCTCCAACATCGAGAATATTTTGGTCAATATGGTAAAGTTCTAAAAGTATCTATGTCTCGGACTGCAGCTGGTGTCATTCAGCAATTTCCAAACAATACGTGTAGTGTGTAAGTGCATAATTCTCATGTATTTGGTTTTAAATCTTCCAAATATTAAGATGTACTTGTTTTGTGTATTGGATCTTTAATAAAAGCATATTATATCATGTATGGATTTCTTTGGAAAGGAAAAGTTATTTGTCATATTATTTTAATATTTTTGTCTTTTGTAGTTCTGTTATTTGGAATTTTCTTTTTGAACGTTCGTCTTTTTACTCCATGTACAGATATATTACATACTCAAAAGAAGAGGAAGCAATTCGATGTATCCAGTCTGTACATGCGTTTGTTTTGGAGGGTAGACCATTAAAGTATAAAAACATGTCTATGGAGTTTTTTTTTTTCTCTTTTGTTAGCAGATGGATGCAGGAAATCATCTCTAATGCTTGGAATATTCATTTCAGGGCATGCTTTGGTACAACAAAGTATTGTCATGCATGGCTGAGAAATGTGGTATGTTTAGAAGTGATTTTTGGTCCTTTTTTTCGTAAATTGAAGAAAATTTTTTATTTGTTGCTGCTAGTTTAGAAACTAGTATATCAAATGTAACTGAGGTTTTTTTTTTTTTTGGGGGGGGGGGGGGGCGCTTAGCCATGCACCAATCCTGATTGTCTATATTTGCATGAGTTTGGTTCTCAAGTGGATAGTTTCACCAAAGATGAGATTATATCAGCATACACAAGGTATATTCATTTTGAGTTTGCAACTCAGTTATAGCTGTCATCTCTATTTCTTCTTATTTTATTTTATTTTTGTTCATTCTTTATGTAACTTTCTTTGTGAGATGAAGAAAATGAACTTTTAGATGCTTTCTGATTCAAATAAATGCAAGCATGCATTGAATATAACTTCATTCTTTTTTTATATGAGTAAAAGCCATTAGAGCTGTCATATACATATATTACTGTTATAGTAGCCCATGCCTAAGATTGCTATCATATGCACACGGAAAGCTTTTTTTTGCTGAACCATATAAACAAGTTGCAAGGGGAGGATGAAAGGATGATAGGATGACATTAATTATTAGCAAGCTAGCTGCTACAAGGGACTTTTTGGTATATAGATTACTCTATCGTTATGATAATCCTTCTAAAAGGATTATGTCTTCACATTGCTGCGTCCTGAATTCTCACCCTTTCTTTTGTAAGCACCAATTGTCAAAAGGTTTCCCCTCTTTGAAAAATAGGTTAACTATTGTAGTTCTCGCTCTCCAAAGAGGAGTTTCAAATCAAAATTTGGATTTGTTGGCTCTGTTTTTAACTTTTTATTGCAAAATTTATATTCTAAGCATGCATTCCAGGTTCTCCATTAATTTTTAATAATGTCTTCTCTTGGAGGATTAATACACTTACGTAGTTGTTTAAAAGAGTAGGGTTCAACAAATAACTGGTGCAACAAACAATATGCAATGGCGTGCTGGAAATATGTTACCTTTGCCAGTGGATGATTATTGCCCCAATAGTTCTGCTTCTGCAGCAAAACCTATTGCTAAAAATGCTCCAAATGTAAGTTCATGTTTTTTCAACTCCCAAAAAAAAAGGGCAAGTGATATTATTACATGTAGAATTTAGGAAAATAGTGAAGTTGTTCTCTACTTCCAAACAGACATTCTCTACACTTCTTATCTCTCCACTTAATGTTTTGTATTTTTTCGTGGGTCATTGCAAGATTCTTAATAGATTGTTTTTATCTTGGGTCATTGCACAAAGAATTTGTCAAATGATAGGGTTGGTGGGTTGAAGAGGGGATGGGTTTAAGTACCATGTATGCTTGGCCTTGGCTCGTGAAATGGACTTTGATTGTGAATTTTTATATGTACAGAATACAACAGTGAACATTCCTAAAGGTTCTCCCCCAAATGGGAGCTCTAGTAGATCTCTTGCTCTTCCGGCTGGAGCATCATGGTATGTCATTTAATTTGTTCTCTTACACTTTGTTATGTTAATTGCTTGTGCTAAAAATTCTGAATCATTCTGCCAGGGGAATGCGGGCTTTAAACCAGCCACAATCGGCCGGCTTAATGTGTTCAAATGGACCTTCTAAGCCGAAATCTGATATAGTTAGCAGCACGTTACCATTTTCATCTGCAATAACAAACACAAATCAGGTTTGCACATTACATGGTGATGCTATAAAGAAGCCATCTGAGGTGAATCATGCTATGCATATGAAGGGTAAACCTGATTTGTTAAAACCTTTGAAACAAAATAGCGGTTTAGAATGTCAAACTACCGCACTACAGAAACCTACTTCACCCGATGGAGTTTCTGCTGCTAAATCATTGAGCAGCCAGTTGTCATGTCCACTGGCATCCAATCATAATAACCAGGGTGCTAATATACCATCAACTGTTACAAGTTCCACCATTGACCATGCTGGGCAATCTTTTATTTCCTCTAGTGAGAAAGTGAGGAGTGCATCCTTTGGGGATGAGAAGATGCAGAGCTTGTGCTCTGATATGTCAACTTTGGCCTTAGATAGGAATGTCTTGGATGGACATTCTGATGTAGTTAAACCAAGCAGTTCCGCTTCTGACCATGGATCAAGCAGCTCACCTAGTAGTCAGGGGTTACAACAATGTTATAGTAAGCACTATCGAGAACCTTTAAGTTCACCAGCCACTGGGAGATATGTGACATCTCCCAATGGGGTGTGTGTTTCAAAAAAGCAGTCTGATTGGAGAACTGATACACAAACTCAAGTAGTGGCAAATACAAGTTCTGAAGTAGAGAAAGACATATTGTCTTTTGATAATCAAAGACTCAAAGATCCAGAAGTAAATAGCCGTTCGAGTTATGTGCCAAATTCACCAATTTCACACCATTTATCAAATCATTCTAGGTCCCATTCTTTGCTACATAGTGAGACTTTTGGTGCTGTTAATTTGAATTCTGATACTCTCTTTGTAGATAATAAAGCTAGTGACAGTTTGCATCTTCATGGATCTAGTGTTTTTTCTTTATCAAATGGATACCCTGTGAAGTACATAAGCAGTAGTATTGGTTCGGATTTTACCACAGAAGGTTCCCTTCTGCTTTCAAATGAAGGGAAAGGAAAGCAGATGGGAAGATTCCGTTGTAATGCTGAAGGCAATGATGTCAAAGATACAGGAGAGAGCAGCATAATTTCAAGCATATTATCGCTAGATTTTGATACATGGGATGAGTCCTTAACTTCACCTCAGACCCTGGCTAAATTGTTTGGGGACACTGACAAGGAGCCCGATTCTCTCAAATTATCTAGTTCCTCGAAAGCACAGAATAATAATCAGTCCAGATTCTCATTTGCAAGACAGGAGGATTCTAAATATTATCCATTTGATGTTGAGTCCTCATTTAGTGCTTTTGGGCAAATGCCACAGAACCAGCCTTCTAGCCAAGAGTTTGCAGAGAGCAGGGATATCTATCTAAATAAGTTTGGAATTTCTAATGGTTTTTGTTCCGGTAACTTTGAGGAATCTGACAATTTTACCAATCCTTCAGTTTTCTCTTCTAATAATCTTTCTGGTGAGTGTCTAGAAATTTCTCTGCTCCTGCTATGTTCAATCATGTTATTGAACTTAGTGAACTTTACTCTTACTGTCTGAATGTTGAATTGAGTGGTATATGTTGTTTATAATTTACAATCATGTTACAAGCATGCACATAATTTGATCTTTAACATCATAATGGATAAATTAGTTTGCCATAATTAGATTTTTTTTATGTGCACTGTTCCACCATTGCCTGAATTTTTTTTCTGACTTCTGATTATACCAAGCGACTTGTTTTGATTTTTTTTCTGTTGACATTGAGCCTTGTTTCTTCATGTCAATAATTTTTAGGTTTTTGTCCTAGTTTGGTTTTGATTTAGTTCATACTGATCCTTTATTCTATGTCGTATAGCAGTTTCAGGAGCTCAAATTTCAGCCCCACCTGGATTCTCTGTTCCTAGCAGGGCACCACCTCCAGGCTTTGCATCTCACGAGAGAGTAGACCCTGCCTTTGACACCGTATTTGGTAAGTTCTCGTTTTATTTTTTGGCTTGCAATCTTTGGAAGTTCTTTGCCTGCAATTTAACTGACTGCTTTTTTGTTTAGGAGATCATTTGATGGACTCTTCGTCCCTGTTAAGAAATTCTTATCAGGCTCCAGCAAGTGGTCGTATTGGTGGCCCTGGGGATATAGAATTTATGGATCCAGCAATTTTGGCAGTTGGGAAGGGTAGACTTAAGGGATGGCTCAACAATTTAGGCTTAGACATGAGATCAAATTTTCCACCACAGTTAGGTCCCTATGAAAATGAGGCCAGATTTCAACTATTGATGCAGAGATCTCTTTCTCCGCATCAGAACCTAAGATGTGATGTTGGGGATAGCTTTTCTTCTCTTAATGATTCTTATGGAATTCCTTCTAGGCTAATGGATCAATCACAAGTGAACAATATGTCCCCATTTGCACAGTTGTCTCTCCAACAGTCAAGGAATTCACATGTATCAAATGGTCATTGGGATGGATGGAATGATGTTCAGGGTGGAAGCAATCTTGGTGTGGCAGAGCTCCTCAGAAATGAGAAACTGGGATTTAACAAGCTTTATTCCGGTTATGAATATTCAAAGTACAGGATGCCCACTTCGGGTGATCTGTATAACAGAACATTTGGGATGTGATTGTTGTTGCAATCGAGTTTTCACTCAATGGCAATGCTATTCTAAGAAGTAGAACGATTTTGTTCAAATTTGGTTGCATGTGAGGATGGAATGTTGACTTGTAACTGGTCTCATTGGGCTGCTCATGAAGGATCAAACTGCCGATAATTTGGGCCAAAAAGCCAGTGTTTGCAAACGAGCAGGTAAATGAGGAAATATTTCACAGTTATTATTATTTTTTCTGCTTGCCTGTTGTGTCTGCACTTGCATCCTTCCAAAATGTTACATCTTTATTTAATTGATGGGTTTCCTCAATATTGCAGTTGAAGTGATCTTCTGCTATTTCTGACATAATCCTCAATTGTCCCGCTGAGTACTGTATATGATCTAACTGAGGTTTGATTCTCTCCTGTTGCTGAATGTTTTGCTCTTGCTCTTGCTCTTGCTCTGACACAAATAGATCTAAATCGGAACCCAAATTCTCCCTTATTTCTTTTCCCTATTATTTGGATGCTATACTCGTACAGTCGTCCATGGACATCTTCAGACAGATTAATTGAATTCAATTAATAGAGTTTGTATGATGTGTTTCATACATGGATTTTCACCGCTTGAAATCCCATAACTTTTTTTTTTTTTTTGTAGTTTTATGCAACTACAACACACTAGATTTGACTTCTTGTACGCCATTTTCTTTCAAAATTAATGGGTAATAATAATAATAAGATCTCTCAACTAGTGATTTTCACTAATTCATCTTAGAGGGTTAGAATGTTTAGGATGTACATTGAAAGTTAATGTATGATAGAATTTTAATGGCTTTAAATTGAATAGTATGATGATAAATAAAAATTAATTAAAAAATGTTTTGAACAAAAATTGATTACAAATTTATTGAAAATTACGCTATATACATTATTGTCTTAAAGGTTGAAATCGGGTACATTTTCGTTACTTTTTTGTAACTTAAACTTTGATTTACAAAATATTATTGAGGACTTTTGATAATAAATTTATCAAAGATGGATTTGTGATAACAAAACCCAATATATTATGTATAAATAAAAACTTGTCCAAGGGTCAGCTTTCAATGAACCGATCTAGTAATTTAAAACTTTTTGTAGTTTTTATATTTATAATAATAAAAGACACAACTTCTTGGGGCAGAGCTAACAAAGACTTAATGAGTAGCTCAAGCCTCTCTGTAGATGTATCTGAAAAGATTACGGAGTCCATATAGATTTGGGCTTGTTGGGAGCCTTATTGGGCATTTTATGGGCCTACGATTCTTGCTTAGGCGATGGAGAAACCCTAAGTAGAATACTACTTATTTTCTATCTCACCTGTTCGTTGGGATTATTTACATGGCTAGCAGAAGAGTAGGATAACTCGGACTGAGTCAGATTCCAACCCAAATTAATAAAATGCCAACTCAGTTTCTCTATTATTCATTACCCCCCCCCTTCAAAAAAAGGAAACACATTATCTGTTTTTCTTTTTTATTTTTAAATAATTTTTGGTCTCCTTAAAGGAGATCATTGCCACCATCAAAATACACATAGCCAGACACATGTTTCACAGATTCAATTCCTCATTTATTGGATTGGTTGAGTATTAACACCCTTTTTTTTTAAGGCTGACCTCACCACCCTACCCCCACCAATTATTGTCATTATCAAAAACAAACAAAAAATAATTGGAACCAATGGACAAAAGTTGGCTGAAACATGTGGTACCCAAAGCCAGCCATTGAATTAAAAAAAAAAAAAAACCTTCTCCACCAATTTCGGTGTCTGATTTGATGCCACACAATAAATATTTTGTTTTTTAGAATTGCATGAAAAAAAAAAAAAAAAAAAAAATCCTTCAGAAGTCAAAATGCAATCTCTCTAGGCTTTAGCCTTATCCCTAACACCAAAAGAACCAAACCTAAATTGAGGATGGGTGGGAAGGGAGGGGGGCCCATTGGAGAGTTAATGAGGATGCAACTGAGCTTTGGGTCCACCACGTGTTTCAAACCCCCTTCAATCATTTAGTGACCTTTTTTTTTTTTTTTTTTCATGAGATTGTTTCCTTCATTCCCTATTGTAGTATTACCGAATGCCAAGTTATTCTCTTTTTTTTTTATTTGAAAAAAATAAAATTAAAAAAAATTACGTATTAATTATTAAATTAAATGCTCATATAAAATTAGTTAGTTTTTACTTCAAAATTTTTACAATGCACCAATATTTTGTTTATACAGCAACACATCAATATATTTAATTAACTGCAAGAAAAATAAGTAGTTGAGAGAAGGCAAATTGGGTATTTTTAATGGAATTTTTTTCTGCCATTCTCATAGTATTAATAACAGTTGAAAGTTGAATTGAAAAAAAAAAAAATGTATTTCACGTGGAGTCCTGGAAGCCTCACTAATAATAGAAAGTCACTGCTCATTCACTAGACAGAGATACTCAGTTTAGCCATGAAATATCAACAAATGCATGCTATATATATATATATATATATATAAATATCCCAGTTTGGACATTACAAAGGACAAAGAACAAATCAAATTTCTAGATATCTTGTCCTGAAATTCGCAGCCTTGTTTAAGGGTACAAGATGATTTTACGTAATCTTTCGAATTTAGTTGTTGAACTTTTCTCATGATTCAATAGATTACTCTTTCCTTTCATTTTCTCCCTGCAGTATAGGTTCCAAAGGCATTTTTTTTTAGAGTACACTTACCAGCATTCGCAAGTTTTTCTTTTGAGTTTAATTTTTTTAAACGATTTTAATGATGTTCCTTTTCTGAGCTAATTGTTCTAATGTTAAGAAAAAATGAAGGTTTTTTTATTGGTAGGAGAAGTCAGTGACCTGCCTTCTAAAGTTCTTAAACTTTTTTAATAAAAAATATTTATATGAAATTTTATAAGTAAAGTTTATAAAATTTTTTATTAAAATAAAAACTGATAAATTAAAAATTTTCAATATATAAATTAAATATATAAAATTTTAAAAAAATTTTAATATATTTTGATATATTTATTAAATAAAAATATTAATAAAATTTTTATCTTTAATTAAGTATCAATTAAATTTAAATTATAAATAATTTTTTATATATTATTATTTTTCACATTAAATTTTATTAATTTAAATTTTTTATTAATAATAAAATTTATAAACCTCACTTATCAAACTATAACTAAATTTTGTCCCTTCTAATGACAATTAAGCCAAGGAAATTGTATGGCAAATGACTTGCCTTCCTTTTTTTTTTTTTTCTCATAAAAACTCTAAATTTCCTTATTTGAGAAATGTAAACCGGCAAGTGGCAGTTGCAAAGAGGAAACTAAAAGAGAGAGAGACAGAGAGAGTGATTTGACAAAACAAAGAAAGCTATATATTAGCCATGAACACTAATATCAAATTTCTACCCAACTTTATTTTTTCCTTAAAAAAGACAGTAACGTCACATTCATGTGTTTGTACAGTGTGATGTGTGATTAATGTTTACGTGGCTCTTTATTTCACCAATCAAAATGGAGGCCCACAAAATAGTGAAATTCTTGCCCCATCCAATCATGTTTCAAGGTGACATTGCTAGGTAACCCACCGCTTAACTTCACGTCAAGAAGCATATAAAGTATACACCTTGATTGCCATTTGGGGAATTTTAAGCATTTCGCAGAACCAAAATTAAGGGATGAAAAAAATAATAATAATAAATTGATTTAAAATTATAAAATTCAATTTAATTAAGATCAATTTTTTTTTTAATTTAGTTCAAATCAAATTTGAATGTTAAATGTATATATTAAATTTAAATCAAATTATAAATCAAAATATAAAAAAAAAATCAAATAAAATAATATATTTTATAAATTTTTATAAAATAAAATAATTATTTATATATATAAATCTATTTAAATATATTATAAATATTATTATAATAATATATAAAAATTAAAAATTAATGAATCAAACTAAACTGAATCAATAAAATTCAATTTAAATCGAATTAATTAAAAAGTAATAATTCAAATTTGGATTGAAGTTAAAAATTCATAATTTTATATATCATCCAAAAAAAATTAAATCAAATTTAATCCAAAAAAATTGTTATCACCCCTAACCCAAACCATGACAAATATGGTCTTTAATTTTCAGAGCTTGGGAAGAGGTAGTTAATGTTAAAAATTACTTACTCATTTTCATATTGCTCTCTTGAACAAACGTTGAATTGGGTCTCATCACATGTAAATAAACAAATGATGCGACGCAATACATTTTTTAAAATATTCAATAAAAAATTAAAAAAAAAACTATAAATCCTTAGAGTTTTGAAGAGGCGATGAATTTATATGTTATCTAAAGCCAAGATTGTTGCCAATAATGAAAAGCAAATGGGAAACAAAGCAAAATGGAAAGCAAAGCAAAGGCAACAAACCTTTCCAACGATTGGTGGTGTTGCTTTCCTTTCAAAGCAAAATGTAAAACAACTGGCACTGTGGGCTGCCCCTTTTTTTTTTTTTGTTGCATTTTGTACTTCTTTCAGCATAAATTTGCTAACGTTACGAGGTCTAGTAATATTGGTACATTATAATTTGCGGGATGGGTGGGTCCAATAATGTTTGAAATTAAATATGACAATTCAGTTTATATTATATAAAATATTAATAATTTATATATTTATATCATATTTTATATAAAAATTATATATTATAATTTATATTGATACGAAAATATAAAATATATATTTTTAATTTTATTAAAATTATAAATATATCATTTTATTATATTATCATATTGCGTTTAAAATTATATCGTCTTTCCAAAATCTCTTCAAAGATAGTATTAACCCAGAAAAGGAAGGATGATTATAATAAAATTGAAAGTGAAAAGCGAGAGGAGAGAGGGTGGTATCAGGAATTGCTTTCATAAATTTTTTTAGTTTATCAAACAAGTCAGAAACTAGTAACTCTGAACCTATATCGAATCAATATTTGAATCATCATCTTCATCATCATCATCATCATACAATTAAAAGTTAAGAACAAAGATGTTATTGTTGCTTTTCCACTGAAAATGTTAGGAAATGAGGCTAAGGTGGTTCCTGTTGTGGCTTAATCTGAAAATAGGTTTGAGGGATGTTAGTGGCGGTGGCAGTTGAGGAGGCGAAACATAGACTGTGAGTCGTTGGATTGAGAGGTTTTGACGATGGAAGAATAGCAGCAGTGAGAGGGGTAGCCGAGAATGAGAATCCTGATGATGCTGCACTAGAGAACAGTGGCAAGGGCGTAGCACTGACTTGACCACGCATTTGCAACGCCCAATCTGGGAGACCTTGCGGAGGACATGATTCAACTCTATTCACCATTGCCCTTTCCTGCCAAACAAATCAAATTTTGAGTTATGATTCATAGACCATGATGAGAATTTGCCTAAGAAACAAAAAATTTTCCATTAACATGCCATCTTAAATGAGACATCATGTCCATGAAAGACATTTATAGCAGGCAGCCATTGTCTTGTTTCTTTTTAGTTTGTGACATGTTAACAACTATAGGCCCTGAAAATATAACCACTGACAGTTTATGGCTGTACCACCCATTACTAACATTAACATTCCAATCTATGAATAGAACGCTTCAAACTTTCACTTGTCTTATGGTGTTGTTGAACATCGTCATTAGCACATAGAAATAACTTCAGTTCAGCATCAAAATTTAGGCAGAATTTATTTAAGGGAAACACCAATATAGGGCTGGTTTAGCAACTAATGGGAATTGACCTGGATGTGGAAGTTGGATGCTATTTGGTGCAAAGTCCAGAAAAGGACTGAACAAGGTTTAAAGATCCGGAAGCAAAGCAATGAGGTTTACCTCACTGGGAAAGAATCTAGGATATCCACTATTCCAGAAAATAGGATGATCTGAAGTCCCCGCTAGGCCATTGAAGGCTGGACCCACTGTTGCAGCGGCAGGGTTCTCTGCCTGCAGACGTAAATCATATAGAAAATGAGCGATCAATACTATATCAAGTTAAAACAGGGTCAAGATGCTTAATTGTCATCCAACTGTGCCATGTAGATTTCTTAAAGCTGGATAAAGATTAACAGATTAACTCCAGCACATCCTAATGCTCACAATGGACATCAATATTTACTAGTAGGTTGAACAATCCTCTACATGTGATGAAACATGCAAGAAAATTAGAATAATTCAAAAGTTACCCTCAAACTTTTCATGCCATGCATGTCATAAGGGCCAGAAAGGAAATCGAGATGCCCCTCTTTTTCGTTGGGATCATTGCCAACAGGTGGAGATATCCCTAAGTTCAGATCAAGGTTGTGAGTATCGCCTGAAATGCATAAAGAGCATTTGAACACGAGTTAACAAGAGCAGTATCACAAAAAGTTCTTCGTCAAGGAAATAAGCTTGATTGGAAGATTATTTACAACATTATAGACACAGAATAAGAAGCAACCAGTAGCATATAGTACCTTCATTACTAGTATCAAAGATCATCTCCCCTTCATATGTACTTGGCTCAAAGTTTGTGACCGCCTCCCTCCCATTATGTTTGATAGCTGCCTTATCATATGCCCTGGTTTCCAGAAAATCAAAAGGTAGACGTGTTGGATGCAACCCTATTGAGGTTGAGAATTCAGGGTAATAAATTCAGTAACAGGTAGAGTGTAATTATGATCATTATGACCTTGCAGCTTCTACTTCATTGTCGAATAGCCCAAGATAAATATACCTGCACGCAAGCATCATAATCCCCATGATGAAACACCATCCCCAATTATTTTTCCTCTCTGAAATAGGCATCTTAGAATTGTTTTTCCATTCAAGGAGAAAACCAAAAAACAATCCCACTGAGAATTAATTCAAGAAAAATCAATTCTCAGTTTGACACCAAGAGGCACTCAAACATTTCACATCTGTACTCCTAAATGATATGTTCAATACAAAATTGAAAAGTCCATGCACAAGAATCCTCACTTTTTGCCTAGGAATTGTCCCATCCGTGCTTCCCATCGACCGCATTTGTGCAGTGTCACTCCTCGATATTTCGAGCTTCCCCTTGAAAAACCAGTACTCTGGCGACGAAGTATATGCACAAATTCTTCCTTAGTCAGATTCTTCATCTGCCCATCAACAAAAAACCGAAAAAGGCCCCAACTTAACTATCATTTAAAACAATCAAACTTTTATATAAGTTTTAATAAATCAATATTTTCTATAGCATTATCCGAATTCCAACCTGTTTCATATCCTCATAATCACTGAGACTGAAATTGATATCAGCATCAACCCCTCGAAATTTAATAGCCGCTCGATCATAGGCTCTGAATTTAAAATATCCAGATTTTAGAAAGACTAAGATTAACCTAAATTCTAAACAAATTCAAACATAAATTGATTTAACAAATTATTTTCCCCTAATTTACCTGGCTGCGGCATGAGCAGTCTCAAATCCACCTGAAAAAATTGAATAAAATCCAACGGAAAAAAAAAAGTTTGATTAAAAATTTTCTAAAAATAGAAGCAAAAAATAATTTTCCATATTACTAAAATTGTCAACAAAAAATAAAAAAAATAACCAATCACATCCATACCCAAATATACTTGTTTCCCGCAATCCCTGAAATAATCATAATAGCCAAAATAAAAAAAATTATAAAAAAATAAGAAATTAAAAGAAAATTCGGATAAAATTCAACGGCTTAAACGACCAAGTCAAAATTCAGTTACGCCCCAAAAGGCAAATTAACCAATCAGAAATTACCAAATATGCGATTCCCATCTTCCAGTTCTTCTATAGAAAGTAACTCCTCGATACTGTGAGCTTCTAGAGCGAGGTCCTCTACGGCTTTTCTTCACCGTCACCGTCTGTGACGGTTGTTGTTGCATCACCCGCGAGTCACCAGCTTCTTTTTTATCAAACGAAAGATCGATCCATTTGTTATTGTTGTTACTATTTCCCGAGCTTTGCCCTTCAGAACTTCCAAAATCCGCTTCAAGTCCCTTCACCGGAAACAGCTCCTTGGTAACCACCGCTGCTGTGTCGTCGTTTCGGTTCTCGCTTCCTCCCCTTCCGACTTTGAGTATGTCGAAACTTAGAGTGAACGCGTCTCTGTTGGCGCGTGTGTAGCACGACTCGTCGTCGTCGTTGACGATTGACGAATTTGAGGTTCCGGATTCGTCCATTTGGTTTCCAGAACCTTCATTGAGCTTACTGGTAAAAGGAGCCACCGAGTCGGAGTCCTGAGTCAACTCAGTCGACGCTACTTTGAGGTTAAGATCTAGCATTTCGTATTTTCGCCTTAACTTGCTGTCGAATTTAGCTTTGACTCAGAAACCTTTTTAAATGAAATAAAATAAAAAATAATCAACTTCTCGGCTTCAAAAACAAAATCATCGGTCAGCGTTTCTTTTTTTTTTTTTTTCCCTCTAAAGGAATCAAATCCAACGGGAGAGATCGATCGATCACAACACTAAACCGAAGCTAAGGATTACGGACTTTACCAAAAAAGAACAGGAGTTTCAAATATTTTCTCTTCACGGGAAGCAAAGGAGAAGAGCAGAGAGTGAAAACGGCGTCGTTCGAAAGCAAAGAAAGTTTAAAACGAGGCTATCATTGAATTACTCGGCGACCAGTTCGTCAACAGCAAGATATGATCGCCGACTAACCGACTCCATAACAAAGAAAAGAGAGAGAGAAGGGGATGGTACGTGTGTGAAAGAACATTACTGAAAACAGACGCCATTTTTAAGAAGGGGCAGTGGAATATATAAACATTTTCTCTCTTTTGGACACCGGTTTTGCCGGTTACCAGTTCTTCGATATGGTCAAGACTCTAAATTATTTTTTTCTTTTTTGCTTTTTTTTTTTTTTTAATTCTGTTTCTTCTTCTCTTGGTTTTTTTAACTCGGGCGGTCTCGCAGATGAGAACATCCATCTGTAATAATGTGTATATCAACTTGATATGAATTAATTTTATTTTTTATGATTTATTTGTTAACAAATAAATAAATAAATAAATAAAAATTAAAGTTATTTATGAATTATTTATCAAATGATATATTTATTCATATTTTTAAATGTAAATAAATTAAATATGATCAAAATTTATTATATTCATAATTTATTTATTTAATTAATAAATTATAAAATACTATTAATAATCAGTCATAAAATTTAATAAATAATATTAGGTTAAATATATTTACAGATTTTTCATTGAGCATTTTACTCATTTTCGCCTTACTTTATAACATGTGACCGTACAAATATGTAAAACAAAATTTTTTTTTTCCAATGTTAGAGATTGAATATTTAGTCTTTATTGTTTGTAAATTAAAAAAAAAAGTAATTTATCGCTTTATACTCATAAATTTTATTTTAAAATAATTTGATATAAAAATTAAAAATATAAATGTAGATAAAATAATTATACTCTTAGTTCTATTTTCTATTTTTTTTCACTATCCATATTTGAATCAATATAAAAGTTGAGAAAAATAACATTTATCGACGTAGAATTTATTAAAATAAGATTATTTTTATCCTACACATTAACTATACCCCCTAAAATGTAATTTACTTAGGGGGGTGCATTCAAGTGGTTTAAACCCCACTAGAAAGTCAGTGAACCATCCACTAATCTCCTACATCGTGTACAACCAAAGGATCATTAAGTACGCTATTGACAATTGATCGTCAATTACGCTAGAATCGGGACCACATGATTACGCCTGGTTCGTTTCGGCTTATGCCTATTTTGGAGTTGGCCTCGATCATTTGATGGACAAAGATTTCTTAACCTCCGATATTCGAATCAAATCAAACTGTCCCTATCGTTGATTGATTGGACCTTCTCCCTTTTGACCCACCTTGTAAGTCCTTTCATCTAACGGCTAGGGTTTGCTCATACCCTTTTTGGTTCACCTAACCTACATTCATAAACTTTAAGTACGTTCCATAAATATATTCGATTTTTGTTATTTTTGTTTGTTTATTAAATTTAGTAAATGATTAAAATTAATATTTTAAAATTTATTAAATAAATAAATAAATAAAATTTATAATAAAATTTATTTATATTTTAAATTATAAATAAATAAAATATTAAACAAATAATTTGTGAACATGAGTAGTTTTTGATTTTTTTTTTATTAAATTTAATAAATAATCAAAAATAATATTTAAAAAATTTTTAATTAAATAAACAAACCAAAAATATAATAAAATTTATTCATATTTGATATATACATTTAAATCTTTATTTTCATAGATTACTCATTGTTATTTGTGTTCATTTTACACCATGTGTTGTGATTTTTTTTTTGTATTTTTCTCAATTTAATGAAACTTAGGAGGAGGGAGAAATTATTTGCTAAACACTTATCATTATCAATTTTATTACAAAATATATTCTTTTTTTTAATTTGTATTTTTAAAATTTCATGAAATATAAGAAAAAAAAGTTGATTTGGTGTATTTAATAGTAAAATTTTAATTTTTTATAAAATTGATTTTTCATTTTTATAGTTAAAAAATAAGATAAATCAAGATAAATAAATTTTAAATATATAAAAAAATTAATGCTTTATATGTAATCAAATTTCATAAGTAAACCCCACCAAATAATTTGTGTAGATTTTGATGTTCATTGTCCATCAATTTCATGGAAAAGGTCTCAAGCAATATGAATTGAGAAATGATGTTCTTTCCAATTTTTAATCAACCTAAATCCAGTTGATACGATGGATAAAAAAAAATGTGATCAATAATTAAAATTGCCATAAAAAATGGTGATGAAAGAAATGGCTGCCCGTAGCTGGCGAGCTGTCAACCACTTCCTACCCAACCTGCCCTTCTCAACATTTCCGTGGTTATTTCCTCGTGTGTCCCCTGCCGACTGCCGTCCACGTCCCCAACGTAAAAAAAAACACGTGGTTAGCTAAGTTAAAGTTCACCATTTGAATTTACCTTACTACCCTCACTCTCAACTAAAACAAAAAAGAAACTTCTTGTTTAATTTCATTTATTATTATAACTATTAAAACTTATTTAAAAAATTAATTAACGTTGAATGATATAATCTTTTACGAGCTCATTTTTTATATGTTTTTTTTTAATTTTAAAAATTAAAAATTAAAAAAAGTTACTAAAAATAAAAATTAAGAGTGAGAAAAAAATCAAAACAACTAAAAACTAATTTGAAATTATCTTGTTTGATTTAATTCAAATCAAATTTTTTTTATTCGGTTTGAATGAAATTTGGATATTAAATATATATTATAAGATCGGATTGAAATTTAGATCGATATATGAAAAAAATAAAATAATTATTTTAAATACAAAAAATATTGAATCGAATCAAATTATATATTTTATTAATTTTTATATATTTTTAAATTTATATAAAATAAAATAATTATTATATATAATTTTATTTTTATATATATTAAAAATTTTATTAAAATAATATATAAAAATAAACAAAAATTTTAAAATCAATAAATTAGATTAAATTAAATCTATAAAATTTGAATTTAATCGGATTGATTTAAAAAAATTTTGAATTTAAAATTTTTTATTTAAAAAATTTATAATATTATATATTATTCAAAAAAATCAGATCATATCCCATCCGATTTTGTTATCATTTCTAATAAAAACAATTACTTTTTTTGTCGAATGTGTTTAAATATTTCATTGATTATTGGCTTTTTCATGGGAAGCACAAGCACAACAAACAAATCAAATAGTTGGTAAAGCTATTGCTTTCCTAGGAAGAGAAGTTACCACGTTTCTTAAACAAATATAAAGGCGCAATCTTTTTTCATTACGTTGTGAGTTGTGACAAACTTTAGTTGAAAATTTTGACTGAAAATCACTTTTTGATGTAAAGGAATCTAGGATGTTGGAAATTCTCTTCTTCGTATCACGGACGACACCACACCATATCCAGAAAGTATAAAAAATGGCTCAAGTGTTTTTCTTTAGAGTTTGTTTTAACAAATTTTGTCGTTAAATATTGTCTTAATCCGTGTTTAACGGCACCGCTTAGTATTTTTTTAAGATCTAATTAGTTGGCTATGATATTGTTGGCTTGATTTTTTTTTTTTTTTAAGATTCAAAGTGTCTTCAAATTCTTCCTCGTAAGAGAAAAAGTTATTAAATACTTTAATGATTATGAATAAGAAAGTCCTAAAAGAAAAAAAAAAACCAATGACTAAATTAACTAATTTGTCGGCTAGATGACCTCCACTTGAAACTCATGACAACGAAATTTGATTTTGAATGGCGTGTATGTAAATTCAATCTTTAAAGTTAAGACTTTAATAATAAAGTTAGTTCAAACTATTATTAATATATTGGACTTCTAGAAGACATTATTTTTTATTTTTAAATTTTTAATTTAAGATTATTTTTGTAACCCTTAATTTTTATTCACGTGAATAAAATATTATACATCTAAATTATTTTAAATCTATAATTTTCTTGAATTTGTCAAATATATATGCCATTTGAATTAGTAATACACACCTTAAATTATTTTAAATTCGTAATTTTCATGATTTTATTTAATATATGTCATGTGAATTAATCCTCATATTAACAAAAAATAAAAAAAAATTATGTCTTATCTATCAAAAATACATGTATGAATCAAATAATTGGCAATTTGTTTACTTTTTTTAGACCTGTCAAAATTGGTAAATTAATGTCGGTCTTTCCACGCTGATTGATTCATTAAATCAGACATGACTTGTCTTTCAAATGTTTTATTCACATGAGCATTTTGTCTCCCCCCCCCCCCCAAAAAAAAAAAAAACTGTTTATAATTTCAGTTTGGAATCCAAAGCTACCTATCTATCATGATTCATGCGACTTGGTTTTTTGTCGCGAGTTTTGATTTGAAAATTAAAACATTGAAATCACAAAAAAATATAATAATAATAATTAAAAGTAAAGATAGAAGATATATATATATATTTTAAGTCAAAAGTTAAAATATCGAAAATCGAAAAAAAAAAAGAAAAAACTAAAAAAATAAATAAATAAATAAATAATAAATTGATGATTCTATTTATAAATAAAAAATGATAAATTTATGAAATATAATAATGATATAACTGAATTAATGTGACATTATATATATTAAATTGATTTAAAAATTAAAAATTTTTTGATTATTTGTTGATAGTCTTTAATAAAAAAAAGATCGATTCATTCTTTGGATCCCAAAATATTTCTAACACTTGAACATTCCTTTCATTATTATCAAATTTGAGTCTAGAAATGTGTTTGATTTAAGAGATCAAAGCTTTGAAGATTTACTTATAATAAAGCTTTTTTTGTAATCTAATTGTTAGTTCAAATCAATTGATTATAATTTGATTAGGGAGCGAACCTAAATCATTGAGAATATTTCTAACTACAACCATCACCCATGAGTGAAGACAACGCAACTAGGTAAAATATGCACTTGAGAACTTTACTTTATTTCCCCTTCATCAATCTCTTTCTTTTTTTTTTTTTTTTTTTTCTTTGTGGGTTGAAACCTGAAAGTTCTATAAGGCCATTATAATGATGTTTGAAACAATGAATTAGCACTAAAAAACCAATGGACTTTCTTCAAATTTATTCTTTTGGCATCCTAGAAGAATTAAAATTTGTAGAAATCTTATCTACATAAAAACACCGAATATATTAAAATATCATTTTAATCTTATGTGTGCACATGTATATATATATATATAATG